CCTTTGTCACTTTTTTCACTCCTGATGAGTTTGTATCCTTCCATGCACAAGCTAGTTAATGGGCTTTTGGTCATTGACTTGGAGAAAGTTTTTTTGTGGGAGTTAGTGTTAGGGGCTAGAATACAGGGGGGCGCCAACACTGATCTTGCATACCCCTCATCAAATGTGCAGTTGCGCCCCTGCACACACACACAGAGAGAGAGAGATAATTATTGTCTTAATATTGTCTCCGAATGTTGATTTGGTCTGGAGCGAGAATAACGTGAAAATAAGCGGGGCAGTCTCAAAACTGTATTGAGTATTGGGCACGACTGCCCCACTTAGTATCATTTTACGTGCCTGTGGAAGCTTGCGATGAATTTTAATATCATGCACACTTAATGTCTTAAAATGTTCTTGACACTTAATTGTCAAGAAAATCGGAAAAAATATTTGTTGCAGAATGCTGAACACATTTACGATTTATTATTTATTCAGTTTATATAGAGGTCTGTGTTTTGGGTGAATATTTTGCTGGGGCTCTGCCCTGCACCTGCCCTTACAGATGAGCCGCACCTGCTGGTACCTATAGGCTACAGTGGTAAACAGTGAGTTGTTTGTTTGTGTTTCAGGTTAATTTGAATAGAAGAGAGAAAAGCAGCTCGGGGATTTTGTGACATGTCTGCTATCAGATTTTTAAAAAATGCAGCCTTGACACAGTCTGTATCAGCGTCACGCACAAGATTACATCTGTAATATTTCTCCTGTCAATACCTGAAATAGTATTTCTGACAAATTCATTCCTCCATCATATAGTAAACACATTTGTTTCTCATGACTTTTATTTAAATAAAAAAGAAAACAAGGTGATACATTATTCTTCTGCTTTTCAGTTAAACATGATTGTGTGTTTCTTCACTAATGTCAGTAAGGTGCTGGAGATCCTCTTCCTGATCTTGAACTCCCAGCAGGGAACCTTCATCTTCCTGATCTACTGTATCCTCAATAATGAGGTCAGACATTTTTCTATCTATAAATACACCAATAAACCTCCAGAGACAGTAGCAGTACAGTATTTTTTTAACCTGTTTATTATAACAAACTCCATTATGGTTCATGAGTTTCCTCAAAAACTCAAAATAATAAAACTTAAATATTTTCAAGTTAATATTACACATTAAAAATAAACAAACAAAAAAACTCCTGGTGCTGGTTCTTTGGTGTGTTGACAAAATCTGAGCTAGTGATGCACTGCAATGCATTTTTAGAGTGTATGGAATCATATTTGACAAGTTGCAATGTTATAGAGTTACACCTCCACCCTTTCTTTTTCTCCTGACCATAGGAGGCACAAAAACCCTAACACTTTTTAAATTTTTTGTAATTTCAACTGAATATCAACATTTGTGAGATTTAGTCAGTCAAAGCTGCTTCGAGGTTAATGACCAACTACCGGCAGCAGCCAACAGCAACTGTCACAGTCCACTTGAAGTCACTGGGTATAAACTGACAATAACATGATATTGGAAATTACACGTATGACATTGTGTGGAAGGTCCCCAGAAATGCACTGACAAGAAACTGGATATACAAATTTTTAATGTATATATTTGTATTTGAATTTGAGAAGGAAGCAGTGGACTTGGACTCATATTTCCTTATCAGGATGATGAACAGATAAAATATCTACATACATCACAGCACAGAAATATGTTTTAGTTAGTTGTGTCAGTGAGCATCACTGAAAATCTGAATTTTCTTTCTGCTCATAATGAAACTCATCAGTCTAAATCAAACAAACTACAGCATGTGTTGATGTGTGTTCATTTGTTGATGTGTGCATCATTTAATCCTTTATTGCTTTATGCTTAGACAATAAATGTTTAAAACGTGCCTCTTTTTTTAAACTTGTGTAACATGTAAATCATTCATTGTAAGTCATGTGTCAATACCATTGCTAATTTGTTTATTCTGTAACTGTAAAGGAATCTTGTCCTCTGAACTGGTTTGTGGATAAAGAGGAATAAACTGGACTGTCAACATTGACAATGGATTCTTCCCTTAATAAAAGTATGTATTTAAATTTGCTTTATGTAAAGGTTGCATCACTCTGTGTAGAAACTTTTATGAAATGAAGATATCACAAACTCAAAATTACAATTCAAGAAATTGTCTTAATATTATATAGACTTATAAATACAGTAAAATGTATTTGTTGTTGTTTTAATTATTTTTAATTGTTTTTTTTTCTCTTCATATTTAATGACAGGTTTTATAAGAGCACCCATTACTATCTTACTAATGCTGTGTAAGTCTGAGCAGTGTTTTTACTTGCCACTTTTTTGTTGTTGTAAATGAATATGACAAACAGGCCCACAAATGTGTATTAAATATTTGGACAAATTTGATGATGTTTGCAGCTGTCAATAAGAGTGTTAACATTTTGCCATGTTTAAATCCTTTATCCAGAAATTTACAGATTTAGAATTCTTGAATCACATGCATCAGAAATGCATTCATTTACTTTGATAAAAGAGCATCTCTCTGTTCACTCCTGCTACAACTAAAATGTGATTGGTGATATTTGGAGAGAAACAAGTCAAAATTAATCCCTCTGCTCATTATTTTATTCAGGACCAAAGAATCCATGACATACATAAGTATATAAGTATAATTGTGGCACTAATGTGGTGAGCGCCAAAAAGTGTTTAACAGTTCATCCAAAAATTTCGATTCTGCCGTCATTTACTCACCTTCACATAAACCCGCAAGACTCTGAAGCTCTATCCAGCTCTAAAATGGCAAAATCAACGCAGCATTCTAGTCCATAATACTTGTGTATTACATTTGAAATCTTTGTGTGAGGAACACTGAACATGTAAGATATTTTCCACTTTTTAATCTCCTCTTTTAGTGATCTGAAATGGACTAGGAAAGTTGTGTGGACTACAAAAACGGTAAACTGACATCACATGACATGGGGGGAAAAACACGATGCTGCTGAGACATTTTTATAGTCAAATCTACACAACTTTTCTAGTCCATTTCAGAACACTGGAGGAGAGGAATTTATGAGTGAAAAACAACTTAAATGTCAGTCTGTTCCTCACACAAAGATACTGTATGACATCAGAAGAGTGCTGTTGTGGTGCTTTTGGTGCTTTTTTAGAAAGAAAAAAAGCATCACAGCTTCAGCCCCATTTCATTATGCTGTTCATGATGCTGTTTAATTACTGTTCATCCAAACTTTCAGATGTTAGCAGCATTAACACCAGCTCTACAGCTGTCACAACAGAGACCATCTCAACTGGTAATATAACACACTGTGACTTATTTTCTGACCTGTAGCTGTTAATGCCAATGTCAGGAACAGTTATACATCGAAGTTTAACCGATTATTGGATAAGAAACAGTGCAGGGAAGGGACTTGGTTCTCACTCAAGAATTGTGAGCACGCAGGGGTGAAGTTTAAGCAAACTAAGTGATTGAGAAAATCCAGCATACTCCACCAGAGAGAAGTCTGTCACTTCACATGGGGAAAAAAAAATCAGGATATGAGTTAAATATTCACAAACATCATAAATCATTTGATTTCAGTATTTCAATTATTTCTGAATCCATTTGATAAATCACAAATCTAAATCATGCATGAAATAAATGCTTCTCCTTTCACATGATCATATCTGTGTGCATGTCTATAAGTTGGTTAGCTATATCTCACCATTATTTACGGTACTGTGCCGGTAATTATATTTTCATGTGTTATTTGTATTACTTGTGTCTCTTTTCATTAATATTCATCAGTCATCATTTGTTTCAGCTGTTACTAACATCAGCAGCACCGATACAACAGTCAGACCAGAGACGAGCTCAGCTGGTAATGTAGTCTGATGTTTCCTCTGTTGATTGTGTTTTGACTGAATGTTTGTGGATCTGCAGAATTGAACAGGTGTGTGTGAGTGTTAGTTTCTCTAAATAGAGACGAGGAATAAAAGATAATGTGAAATGTAAAGTTGTAGATCATGGCAGACATTTTTTTTTTTTTGCATTTTTAATGCCCGTGCACAAGATATAATATTAAGAGAAATTTGCTTATTAATTACTGTTCATCTAAACTTTCAGATGTTAGAAGTATTAACACCAGCTCTACAGCTGTCACAACAGAGACCATCTCAACTGGTAATATAACACACTGTGACTTATTTTCTGACCTGTAGCTGTTAATGCCAATGTCAAGAACAGTTATACATCGAAGTTTAACAGATTATTGGATAAGAAACAGTGCAGGGAAGGGACATGGTTCTCACTCAAGAATTGTGAGCACGCAGGGGTGAAGTTTAAGCAAACTAAGTGATTGAGAAAATCCAGCATACTCCACCAGAGAGAAGTCTGTCACTTCACACGGGGAAAAAATATCAGGATATGAGTTAAATATTCACAAACATCATAAATCATTTGATTTCAGTATTTCAATTAGTTCTGAATCCATTTGATAAATCACAAATCTAAATCATGCATGAAATAAATGCTTCTCCTTTCACATGATCATATCTGTGTGCATGTCTATAAGTAGGTTAGTTATAACTCACCGTTATTCATGGTACTGTGCAGGTAATTCTATTTTCATGTGTTCTTTGTATTACTTGTGTCTCTTTTCGTTAATATTCATCAGTCATCATTTGTTTCAGCTGTTACTAACATCAGCAGCACCGATACAACAGTCAGACCAGAGACGAGCTCAGCTGGTAATGTAGTCTGATGTTTCCTCTGTTGATTGTGTTTTGACTGAATGTTTGTGGATCTGCAGAATTGAACAGGTGTGTGTGAGTGTTAGTTTCTCTAAAAAGGGAACAGAGACCATCTCAACTGGTAATATAACACACTGTGACTTATTTTCTGACCTGTAGCTGTTAATGCCAATGTCAAGAACAGTTATACATCGAAGTTTAACAGATTATTGGATAAGAAACAGTGCAGGGAAGGGACATGGTTCTCACTCAAGAATTGTGAGCACGCAGGGGTGGAGTTTAAGCAAACTAAGTGATTGAGAAAATCCAGCATACTCCACCAGAGAGAAGTCTGTCACTTCACATGGGAAAAAAATCAGGATATGAGTTAAATATTCACAAACATCATAAATCATTTGATTTCAGTATTTCAATTAGTTCTGAATCCATTTGATAAATCACAAATCTAAATCATGCATGAAATAAATGCTTCTCCTTTCACATGATCATATCTGTGTGCATGTCTATAAGTAGGTTAGTTATAACTCACCGTTATTCATGGTACTGTGCAGGTAATTCTATTTTCATGTGTTCTTTGTATTACTTGTGTCTCTTTTC